GTCCCTTCCAACTCCACAATTCTACGATTTTAGATCACTTTGAGGTTTTTTTCTACAATCAAGCGGTGTATAATATTTATGAAATAAAGAAATAAAATATCCATGAGATATGTAGCCTGCAGCTGGGCTTACTTCCTCAAGTCAAGCCGGAACGCTCCCTATTAAGTTCCAGACCACTGACTGAAGAAAACCACCATTGAGGTAGACCACATATGCCAGCCAATCCTCTGCCTGTTTACTCAGAAATGGCTAGTAATGGCATTCACTCCCTGCATAAGTGCAAGAGGATCCCTGTCAGGTCAAGTCAAATGGAACCCCCCTAGTTCACCCTCTTGTTCTCACAGATGCCCACAGGAAGTCCACAGAACTGAAAGCCTGCCACACACAAAGCTCCATGGAGAATTTGCTTTCTCAGTGGCCACTGGGATGGGGGTGAGGCACAAAATGTCAAGACTCTCTTGAAGGGGAAGAGAAAACTGAGGGCCATTGCTTGAACCATTTTACAGCAGGGTTAGCTAACCTGTGGCCCTCTGGATGGGGTTGGCTTCCCAGCTCCCATCAGCCCCAGGCAATTGTCAGAGATGATGGGAGATGTAGTCCCGAAAGCCGGCACCACAATCCCAGTGGGGTGTCATCGTGGCTGCCCCCCCCATGCTGGGTGCCACGCCCCCAGGACGCATGCCAGCCACGCCCCTGTCTGCTGTCCGCCCCCCGGTGCCGGAGCATGAAGCTCCGCCACTGGTTGCAGGTCCCACTTGTGGGACTGCTTCCTAAGCATGTGTGTGTGCAGGATTGCAGCCTTAACCAGCTGAAACAGATGATCCACGCTGCCTGAATAGACAGTGCAGGCAGGGTAGATGATGAGATGCCATTATACAATGTTTGCACAAAGCCTCCAGCTTTCTGCTTTCAAGTCATGACATTACGCATCCTGAGCCTCCCTCCCGGACCCCCTCCTGTGCAAAATGTACAAAAGCACAGAAAGATGGTGAAATAACCAAGGAAATAATTTTTTTTTCAGTCAATTGAGTTGTTAATGGAAAAAAGCTGTGTGAATGTTATCTTATAAATTAGAAGATCCCCTCTTTCTAAATAGTTCAATTGAAATCAGCTTTTTGCATTTATCCTTTGGGTCCTTCGGGCTGCAAATGCTGTTAGCTCAGAGTCAAAAAGTCAGATTTTTAAAGGGAAAATGTCAAGTCCTTTTAGGCTGCAACTGACCTTTTAAACCAGATTAGAGATTTGAAGCATTACACACGGATTTTCTACATTTTATATCACAGTAGTTAACGAATGATCAAATGCAGCTCCCAAGAACACTCTTTGTACGAGTGTGACATTTCCAGCCTTAAAAAAAAAAAAAGACATGGCCAGTCTATTTTACAGAAAATTACTCTCGAGAAATTAATCATTTCCTGCCCATCTCTGAGGACTGCTGTACATATAGTTGCCATGCGGAGATTGCATTAATCCAATCAGTCTACCTAGAGACGTGCGCTTCAAGCTCTAAATCGACTCTAACCAGGTTGATGCCAATAGAACTGGCCCCTATTAACTCAGGTGTTCGGTAGTTTCACTGCCCATTCATTTCAAGAAGGGCAAATCAAACCTCTGCTAACTAGGGCATTTCCAGACGGTGGCTATTTTCAGGTCGGATTCAATCAAATACTGGCAAATTCAAATTGCTCTTTCAGGAAGTTTTATAATAATAATAATAATAATAATAATAATAATAATAATAATAATTTATTATTTATACCCCGCCCATCTGGCTGAGTTTCCCCAGCCACTCTGGGCGGCTCCCAATCAAGTGTTAAAAACAGTACAGCGTTAAATATTAAAAACTTCCCTGAACAGGGCTGCCTTCACATGTCTTTTAAAGATAGGATAGTTGCTTATTTCCTTCACATCTGAAGGGAGGGTGTTCCACAGGGTGGGCGCCACTACCGAGAAGGCCCTCTGTCTGGTTCCCTGTAACCTCACTTCTCGCAATGAGGGAACCGCCAGAAGGCCCTCAGCGCTGGATCTCAGTGTCCGGGCTGAACAATGGGGGTGGAGACGCTCCTTGAGGTATACAGGACCGAGGCCGTTTTGCACATCAAACCCGCTTCCGCCAGTCAGACTTTTTGCCACATGGAAAGTGACAGGGGAAACAGCAGTGGGGAGTGTGGGGTAACACTTACCTAAAAGGTAAAGTGACCATTAGGTCCAGTTGTAACCGACTCTGGGGTTGTGACGCTCATCTCGCTTTATTGGCTGAGGGAGCCGGCGTACAGCTTCCGGGTCATGTGGCCAGCATGACTAAGCCACTTCTGGCCAACCAGAGCAGCACACGGAAACGCTGTTTACCTTCCCGCCGGAGCGGTACCTATTTATCAACTTGTACTAGTGTGCTTTCGAACTGCTAGGTTGGCAGGAGCTGGGACTGAGCAACGGGAGCTCACCCCATCACAGGGATTCGAACCGCCGACCTTCTGATCGGCAAGGGGTTTAACCCACAGCGCCACCCACATCCCTTATTATTTAACCTACCAGCAAACAAATCAGAAGGGGTGCTCATTAAATGGTCATTAAATTAAACAAATGAGAATGAATGCTCAGTAAAGAGGTCATCTAGAAGCACCTTAAGTTAAGCTTGTTTTTTAATTAAAGAAGAGGGGGAGATAATACACGACACAACAATTGATCCTATAGTTGTTGGAGAGCAAACAGAGTATAATAAGAGATTCAGGTTTACAAAAAATAATAATAGATATACAAACTGATGGGTCCAGTTCTCTTCTGCAAGAGGTTTCAAAATGAACTGCGCAAGGACATGGTAACAGCTGTACCTATTCATCTCAATGGAGCTTATGCAGGAAAACTTCTCTGTAGTTGGGGACTGGTTGCCTTTTTTCATGTTCCTTCTCAATAATCCAAGTGCTTGGGCCAGCCCTGACTATGCCAACTGGGTTATAGGCAATGCTATTTTTGTAGAAAAAGAGGTGCCAGAGCTGCCTAATTCACACTTTCTGAATCATGAACCAAAACGCAGCCATCCTTCAGAATTTGCCCTTTTCTGAATTTTGCAGTCAGTACTCCAGCCTAATAATGCATCTACAAATGCATATACTAGGGTGATGTGTATATATATTAGTTAAAATAATATACAAAATTGCATCACATTACAGAAAACTGCTTTGCGAAAATGTGTCTATTAGGCTAAGTTGCACACAAGCTAGTGTTGGTATGGTGGTGAGAGTGTTGGACTAGGGCCTAGGAGAGCAGGGTTCGAATCTCCACTGGGTTATGAAGGTCACTGAGTGGCTTTGGGTGAGTCATTGCCTCTCAGCCTAACCTACTTCACAGGGTGTTTGTGGGGATTAAATGGGGAGGAGGAGAACCACAAACATTAAAATGTTTTAATGTTTTAATGTTTTAATGTTGTATTTTAATCTTGTTTTTAAATTGTATTCATTCAACTTGTTTTTATTATTGGTTGTTAGCCGCCCTGAGCCTGGCCTTGGCTGGGGAGGGCGGGGTATAAATAAAAATTATTATTATTATTATTATTATTATTATTAAACACCAACTTGAGCTCCTTGGGAAGAAAGGTGGGAAATCAATGAAATCAATGAAATAAAATATATGGGGGAAATTCATACTAAATGCTGATGATATGCAAATGTGCAGAACTGAATTTAAGAATGGGAAAATGGGAATCCAAAAGAAACCAGCACTGACAGATTTGCCCATCACTAGGAGGAAGGGAAGCATTGTTCTCACAAATCTGTACAATGGAAACATAAAAACAGCTTCCACCGCAACCAGTCATTCATTCATATATATATATATATATATATATATATATATATATATATACACACACACACACACACACACACACACTTGTAAGATGAAGTAAAATAGCCAAATTACCCTAGACATCTAACAGACGCCATTTCTCTGATGCTATTGTCGGTTCTAAAAGAGCGCTTCTGTGCTGCTATTTTAAAGATTTCGTCAGAATTCATCAAAATCGTCTACCTATCACTATAGATATGCTATGCATAATGGAAAATACCTGTAGTGTGACAGGAAGATTAGGTTAAACTGAAGCAAATCAGTGTGATAGTTTTCCATTAGCAGAACTCAAAACAGGATTGTCAACAAAGGCTGACACAGAATAATGATTCCGCTGTCATCTCACACAGAGGAGTCCATAAAGAAAATAGGCATATTTTGATATATGTAACTCCTCTTATTTTTCTCAGTTGTATCGTGTAAGTCAGCAGGTCTATCTATAATTATAATTCACTGAAGGCAAGCAAGCGAGAGTTGAGTGACACTCTTTTCTCTTTCTGGGCAATGGGGGCTTGTATCGAAATTAAACCCTTGACTCTTCCTCAGGCTGGAAATTATACCAGAAAACCCTTTAATTAAAAATCCTTCTACCTTGTTTTTTTGTTTAACTTTTCACTTGAGGAAGTTCTTGATGTTACTCAGAATCTCCCATGCTACAGAGGGATTTGGTCCAAAAACAGGCGTTATTTTACTGTTCCCGGTCGGATTTATTTATTTTAGAAAGGGTTATCGTGACTGCTTGTTTCTGGTCTCTCCACCTCATTCACAATTTTATAATCCTCCAGGGTCCCCTTGTGCCCGATAGCTGTAGTGTGGACCAAATCACAGGATCACAGTGCGTCATGGCAGTGATTCATAGAATTGTAGTACAGTGGTACCTCAGGTTACATACGCTTCAGGTTACATACGCTTCAGGTTACAGACTCAGCTAACCCAGAAATAGTGCTTCAGGTTAAGAACTTTGCTTCAGGATGAGAACAGAAATCGTGCTCCGGCGGCGCAGCAGCAGCAGGAGGCCCCATTAGCTAAAGTGGTGCTTCAGGTTAAGAACAGTTTCAGGTTAAGTACAGACCTCCGGAATGAATTCAGTACTTAACCCAAGGTACCACTGTATTGGAAGGGACCACAAGGTCTAACCCTCTGCCGTGCAGGAACCTTACAGCCAATGTGGGGCTCATACTCATGACCCTGAGATTCAGAGTCTCATGCTCTACTAACTGAGCTATGGCAAATTCCCTTATTACATGCCAGGCCAGTGGTCCACCCAACTTGGCATTACAGCTATTGGCTAGCCAGGTTTTCAGAAAGCCTCTCCTCCTCCCAGAGGGGAGGGGTTGTGATCGGGAGCCGTTTCCCGCCTTTAGCAGGGGGCGTTCCAGCCCCTGCTCTGTTGCCCTGGCTGCCTCACCATGCCCCCTGGCAGCCATCCAATCTGGGGGAGGCTTGAGGATGGGGTTTAGCCGCTCAAAATGCGGCCGTGGCAGTGCTTCCTCCTCATTGCGCTGCTGGTTTTCGTCGGATCACCCACCCACCCTCCCTCTAGCTTATCACTTTTCTTGACCTTGCTATGGACCTATGGTTGGTCACCTTGGTTGTCCAAGGGTCCTGGTAGGAATTTTTATCCAACTGGCAAATTGGCACCAGCCACTTGGTTTTCCGCCTACCTCGTAGCAAATCATCACAACTTTTAGGTATTGGTAGTTAGGCATTGGAATATGTTTGTGTATTGGGGGGCAGGGTGTGACCATCGCCTACCCCTCCACTTTATGTGTATTCTGTTAAAGAAATCCGGCGGTCGTGGATCCTGTCTGACGCCCTTGTGGTGGCTAGGGCCATGACACGACCCCCGGTGACATCAGGGGGAGCTTACAGTTGTATTTGCATCAGCAGGCTCCTCCTACTGGTGGTTAACCCTTGTTAGACTCACCCCTTCCTGAGGGAGTAGAGTCACGCTCTGTTGTTGTATCCAATCCCTAAGCCAATACCTCTCACATGCTGTAACTAATAAAGTTGTGGCCTTTTTTAGCCCATTAACCTAATATTCTGTGTCCATGTGTCTTTTATTATCCTCAAGCGGGAGGCGGGTCCTCAAATCACAGGAGTCTTTTGTTTTACTCTACTTTCAGCAGAACTTAGTTGGATACCTTTTCTTTCTTCCACAATGGAATTCAAGGCAAGTTTCCCCTCCAAGCAGTGACCTAACCCAGTTTCCTTCAGCAGGTTTGCTGCATAATGCAGCCTCAGACAACACACTTGGACTTAGTCACAGGAATCATAAGAACATAGGGAGTTACCTTATACAGAGTCACACTATTGGCCCATATTGGGTACGTGGGCGGTACTGTGGTCTAAACCACTGAGCCTCTTGGGTTTGCTGATCAGAAGGTCACTGGTTTGAATCCCCGTGACAGGGTGAGCTCCTGTTGCTCTGTCCCAGCTCCTGCCAACCTAGCAGTTCGAAAGCATACCAGTGCAAGTAGATAAATAGGTACTGTTGGGGCAGAAAGGTAAACAGTGTTTCCTGGCGCTCTGGCTTCCATCACGGTGTCCTATTGAGCTAGAAGCGGTTTAGTCATGCTGGCCACATGACCCGGAAAGCTTTCTGTGGACAAACACCGGCTCCCTCAGCCTGAAAGCAAAATGAGTGCTGCAACCCCATAGTCTCCTTTGACTGGACTTAACCATCCAGGGGTCCTTTACCTTTACCTTTACCATTGGTCCATACACACACACCAACCCCATTCTTTTTATTAGGTGTTATTTGTTTGTTTTTTAAAGAAAATCTGAAATTTTCTCTCACACACAAAAAAATCTTCAGAGAAATTTCCACTCAGCTCTACTGTCAATGGCTATTTGTCATGGTGATGCTCAGCATCAAAGGCAGTGAGTCTGGGAAGAACAAGAGAGGGAGCAAGCAATTACCTTCATAGCTGTTTGTGGGCTTCAGAAGGTCGTCTGGATGGCCACTGTGGGAAGCGGGAGGCCAGGCCAGATGGACCTTTGGTCTGATTCAGCAGGACTCAGCTATCAAGCGGGATACCCCCACACACTTCCATATAATATGCCAGTTAAATGCAGTTCAAAGCCATATGCTCAAAGGACCGAATATCTCTCTGTGTTGGTTAAGATGAATGTTTAAGTAGCAGAAGCAAGCATGTTAATAATCTGTCCATCCATCTGATAGTGGGCTGACATTGCCCAGAACTCCGGTACATTTGTTCCAAAGCCCATTTTGTAACACACAGCCTGCTGGTCCAGGCCATAGTCAGGGAAGGAGAAAGGCAGTTGCCATCACTACAGAAAAATGTACAGCTTTTTTGTTCTCCCGGGCAGTCACCATCTTGCCCTGTGTTTACCAATTTCACGTGTCATTAAATCAGCCCTAAGACACCTTTTGTTTGACATGCAGAAGTAACCGCAGCCTGTAACTTTAATGACCTTTTATGCGATTCAGTCTATGAAACATGCCCAGCAACTGTGCAGCGTATGTGGCATTTAAAGAAATATTTTAATATTGAAGGATATGTCCATGGTGAAAGAAATAGGCTGGCTTCAACAAAACTAAGTTGTATACCCCCAAAAGGGAGGTGGGAAAGTAACAAACTAGCAAAGCAAAAATATCGGGTGAAATCTTTAAGTTTAGTAGATCCCCTCAGTAGATAGTTTCGTTTTTTAAAAAAAAATCAGTCAATCTTTCCAAGTGAGGGTTACTATCCTACTCTCAGGAAAGCTACTGTCATCCCATGAAAATCAACAGGATTCAATCTGTGCACAAGATCACAAGCCATTAAATCAGTTATGCTTAAAGGGATGCGGGGTTGAACAAATTTGTTAAGTTCTGTTTTTCTGAGTCTCTTATTTTTTGCACTCTTCAGTTTGGGCGGGGCAGGGGGGAATGGGGGGGGGATGTCCTTATGGAAATTCATCAGCATTTCAGTATACTTTTGTCCTAATATACACATTTTTTGCAAGCAATTTCCCTTAACGTAACTCATTTCGACTGTCACATTCACCAAGATGCATGCTTTCTCCAAATATACACCTTTTTTGTACACATTTTTCTCCAAATATACACCTTTTTTGTACACATTTTTGGGGTAAGAGAACTACATCGCAACATTCAGAGACGCGCCAATTTCAAAGTCAGTTCCAGTTTGCCTATTGTTTAGGGTAGTGCAAATCAGATCAGTTCTGACTGAAGCCCAAACTGAACCAAATTTCTGCCCCATTTCTAGATGGGCTGATCTCCCTTTTATAATACTATTTTGTAAGTGCAGCTTTGCTTGTTGGCAAAAAAAAGTTGAGGAAGGCTTCCCTTGCCCAAATTCCCCCTTCCAGGCAGCTTATTGTCCCAAATGAATCTGGAAAACCCCATGATTAAATCAGCTTATGAGGTGCATGGTTCGGGAAGGAAACTTATCCCCTTTAAAATAAAATAAAAGTCAAAGCCATGGGATTTTCTAGCAAGGGAGAATTCCAAACCGTCTAGCCCTGAACTTCGTCTCCGTCAAACAATAAAGGGGTTCTGCAAGGACGTGTGGTTGGCAGGAGCGTTTAGCATGCTGTAAAGCACCCAGCGAGGCAGCGGGTGTCAAGATGTCAAAAGCAGTGAATGGTGGCCACAGAGCTGAAGCCAAGAAGTGACTGGTACTCTGACAGGAGGACGTATGTGAAGAATGTTTGATGCAAATATGGTGCCTGGGATAATGGATAGTATAATTTAGCGCCTCTTCTGAGAATCTGAGTAGAAAGGACACCTGGATTGCAGAGATGAGCCTCGCAGAGGAATTCTCAGCTCCCACCCTCAGAAATGCATTATTCATTCCTTGCCAGGATGGGGAGAGGGGGTGGGCTACAATTTTATTTCCATCAGACATCTTAAGCAGTGAGAGGACAAGCACTTATCGGGTGCTTTCGAGGAAGGATTTTGGTTTTATTATACAGGAAGGAGAAAGCCCTGGGCAACTGTTCTTTTGCCCTCTCTTCCTTGCCATACTTGGGAGAAAGGGTCGCCGTACTTCAGCAGGCTTTTAATCCTCCATCACTTGAGGTTGCCTTACTCCTTCCTTTCCCCACCTGCGCTATTCAGGTCCAACTTCCTGCTGTTCCTGCGCTGTGTACTACTGCTGCCCCCTAGAGGAGGGAATAAACCTGGATGTTATTAGCAAGGGACTGGATGCTCCTTTTTCTGGAAAGGATGAGTATGAGAATGGTCTATTTATTTATACTCTATCTTTCCCCCTCTGATGGGACTCAGAGCAACTGAAAACAAGAATTGCTAAAAACACGGCGGGGGGGAGGGAGCTAAACAGTAATAGAATTAAATCTATTTACGTATATAACATCTGTTTTAAATGAGCTGAAAACCAATTGAAAATGAGTTGAGGCCAGTCTGATATTATTGGGAGCTTACTCCTGGAATCTTATAACTTTTTGAATGTGTCATTTTACACATCGGATGATATCTGAATGGTTAACGTTTCTTTCAAGGTACCAATGTTTGCTAATTCTTTCAAGGGATCTCTCTTCCCTCAGTTTTCAAGAAGTCCAAGCTTTGTTTTGAACATAGGAAGGTGCTTTATACTACAGTGGAACCTCAGTTTTTGAACGTAATCCATTTCAGAAGACTGTTTGACTTCCAAAACATTCAAAAACCAAAAACTGAAAGCAGAAGTCTCAATTCAATTGCTGTTGTTGTTTAGTCGTTTAGTCGTGTCCGACTCTTCGTGACCCCATGGACCAGAGCACGCCAGGCACTCCTGTCTTCCACTGCCTCTCAATTCAATAGGGAAACTCTAAAAGGAAGTAGCGTCGGACGTTCAGGTTCCAAAACACATTCGAAAACCAGAGCAGTTACTTCTGGGTTTTTGGAGTTTGGGAGCTGAAACATTCGAAAACAGAGCCGTTCGAGAACCAAGGTTTGACTGTATTGAGTTGGACCATTGATGCACAGTTCTGGGTATTTCAGTGGTTGTGAAACTGGATTCTCCAGGAACTTGAGTGGAAGCCTTTTCCAGCTCTGCTACCGAGAATTCCTTTTAACTAGAGATGCCAGGGATTGACTTGGAACATTACAAATGCACACAGATGCACTACAACTCACATCAACCCCAGTCACCATGGCCAGGGATGATGGGAATTGTAGTACATGACATCTGGAGGGAGCCATGCTGGCTATGTCCATTATACAGGTGAGCCTATTTAGGCTAACTCTGTCTACTCCATGTGT